CGCCACCCGACCGCCCCGCGCGCTCCCGCGTCTGCGTTTCCCAGCCGCAGCCTCACTCAAGGCCGCCTGCGCGCCCTCTGGCGGCCGGCCGGAGAACCGCGCGTTCCGGGGCACCGGCCAAGACAGTTGGCGCCCCTCGTGCCCGCGCGCCCCCTGGCGGCCGTGCCCTGACTCACGGGAATTCCCCTTGGCCGAGATGTATTTGTGGCTGGTGGCTGGAGCGATGCTCTGCTCGGTCCCCGCTTGCGCTCTGGACGCGGACCAACTTTGGATCCGTGGCCTAGACAACTGGGGAATCGTCAGTGTTTTGAGACAGATGAAAAATATCGCTCCCCACCAATGCCTGAATGACAGAAGGGACTTCAAGTTTCCTTGGGAAAGGCGGATTATCACCGAAATGTCGAAGACACAATACATCTGTTTGACCCAACTGATGCTGCAGCAGACCTTCAACCTCTTCGTCTCAGAGCAGAGCCACGCTCCCTGGAACAGCACCCTCCTCTCCGACCTCTTCCTCAGCCTCCATCACCACCTGGACCGCCTCTCCGAGACGCAGGAAGACCGGGTTTGTTCCGATTTTCAGCTGCCTGTCCAGGATTACTTCCGAAGAATCCGTAAATACCTGAAGGAAAAGAAATACAGTGGCTGTGCCGGGAGATCGTTAGGATCGAGATTAAAATACGCATTATCATCCTAGAATATTACTTCGAGAAAGTTCAATAAATGAGGAAGAAAGCTATACTGGTGACTCTCTCTATTCAGTTGCATTGTTTGCTAGGTCCCCAAACAATCAGCTGGCATTTGGGCACCAGCTGAGACACAGCTGAAACCAAAAGCGTGGGGTTCTTTTAAAACCATCTTGTACATCACCAACTTACAAAATTGTATTTAGAGAGGAGTTCATGAGCTACAACCTTCAGGAAACACTTTTAGGATGTAATTTCTTTAGGGGTTTAAATTCGGTGGGGGCTATTTGCTTTTTCCAAAGGGTGAGGTCCCATTTTTTTTTTTTAGTGGAAAGATTCTTCAGTTTAGTGTTTTCTTAAAGACATTTGTCAGTTAAGTTGCTGCTGGCTGTTCTGATAAAAAGAAAACTATCCAGACTTCAATCATTATAGACTTTAGGTGTCCTTTGTATGGGAGCACTAGGCAAGCATTCCTGAGCAGGTGACTCTTCCGTTTGGCTCTTGTGCAGGCAGCGATTGACGGTCATGGGTTCGTTTACTTTTGAAACCTTTCCATATTCGTAGTGGGACATCCAATTTCTCTGAGACCCTGAGTCTATTCCACTCGGTTGTAAAGAAAGAAATTATGGTAGAACACATGGGATGTGTTGGAGGCCAGTTAGTGAGCAGGGCAATATCACGTATGTTCCTGTAAGCTGGTCTGAAACTATTCTCATGAAATGCGTTAAGTGCAAAGAAGCTGAGAAATAGACCCTGATGTGGTGCTCAGTGGATCAGGAGACACCCTTAGTGAATGAACCCACTCTTCATCTTCACCCTGTTTGCACTAAAGGACTTTTGGTGAAAACAACCAACCAATGTGTTTGATATCATAGGTACCACAATGGTTCTTGGTGCCCCAGAACTCAACCCTATGTAACAAAATCAAATTCCTTAGCGTTCATTTTTCTCTTTGGATTTTCTTGCCTATCATATTGGAAGGCTTAGCACTGAGTTCAGGGAAGACACACAAAATATATGCAAGATCAGTGCTACAAACCTATGGAGACCTGATGGCTCATTGGAGGACTTTCTCTCCACTGCAAATAATTTTATTATTTGGTTCTACTAAAGTCATTCAACACAGCAATAATAGTGGCAAACGGTAAGCAGAAAAGTTGTTGACAATATCCAGATGAATATCTGGCAGCTGGTGAAGTTAAAGATTATTTTCTTGTACGAAGTAAAATTAAAAGTGAATTAGGGGAAACAAGTGATGGAAAAAATATAATAAATAAATAATTAAACAAACAAACATATAAATAATGAATAAAGAAAATGTTTAAAAAATAACGAAACACAAGTGAAGTACTTAAAAATAAATGTTAAAAAACAATTTAAGTTTTCCCCTGGCTGGTGTCCCTCAGTGGTTAGAGCACTGGCAGCGTTCCCTGTCGGAAGCAGGTGCCCGGGCTGCAGGCCTGAGCCAAGGCTCAGGTCAGGGTGTGTGGGGGAGCCAACAAATCGACGTTTCTCTCTCACATAGATGTTTCACTCTCTCCTCTCTCTCTCTCTGTCTCTTCCTCTCTGTTTTTCTCTTCCCCTCACACTCTCCCTTCCTCCCTCCCTTCCCCTCTCCCCTATAGATCCATGGAAAAAATACCCTCAGGTGAGAGTTAACAAAAAAGTGGTAATAATAATTAAGTTTTCAATGGTGTTTAACAGTGCAAATGATTTTAAATTTTTTCTATACACTTGTATTATTATGAAGTGTTATAAAATTTTTTATTTGAATACATAATTGGATACATTACCATTTCTATAAGCAATATGTATGACATTAAAAGTTGCTCTTCAAAGTTATGTAGAAAGTTAAAGTAACTTGAACTAAAATGATCGAGCCCAGCCAGTGTGGCTCAGTGGTTGAGCATCGACCCGTAAACCAAGAGGCCTCTGGCTCGATTTTCCGCCGGGACACATGCCCGGGTTGTGGGATTGACCCCCAGTAGGGGGCGTGCCAGAGGCAGCCTCTCTCATCCATGGTCCTCTCTCTATCCCTGTCCCTTCCTCTCTCCCTCAAGTCAAGAAAAACATATTTTAAAAGAATTAAATCCAATGTCAATTAAATTGACATTTTAATGATATTAAATTAACTGACAGTAACTTTTAAATATAATTGTAGCTTAACATTTAATTTATCCATTCTTAATCCTTTACTGAATAAAATGACTAAATTTTACTTACACTTTCTTCTTGTAGGCATAAAACACAGATATAAATAAAGGCCAGATAGATCAATTTGTTACATTTTCAGGAATATTATTTCACATCAGGTTCAACTCTGCAGGCCCTAGTGACTCACAGAGGCCCATGCTGATGTGTGTTCATACCTCCATTATTTCTTTCCTTATTACTTACTTATGTATTTATTTATTCATGAGATTTCCATTGGTTTTGCTCATATAATATCAGGCACGGGTACCTTTATATTGTGTTATTTTAAAAAACATGTTCTTTATGCTTAGCCATGTAGCCTTCTTTGTGTATATTCTATTTTGTCCTCCGTAAACTGTTAGTGTTTATTGACAGAGGAACGCCAAGCTGGATGGCGCACCTTGGTTCATGAGCGGCGGCAGCCGGGCCTGCGTGGCCCCGTGGTCGAGCGTCCCCCGTGATGCAGCAGATCTCAGTTGGATTCCTGCTCAGGCCCATGCCCTTGTTCTGGCTCACAGATACCATGCCGGAGGCAGCTGAGCAATGACCCTCTCTCATCACTGACATTTCTCTCTCCTTCTCTTCCTTCCTCTCGGAGAGATCCATAAAAACAGAGTACTTAAAAAACCCCAGAATAGATGGCACTATTCATTTACCCATTATAAAAAATTCTTAGGACCTGTTTCAGGTCAGTAACGGACCTCTCAAAGGAGGCAGCCAAACACACACACACACACACACACACACACACACACACACACACACACAGAAATTGGTCATGAATTCTAGAGAAGACTGAAAAATTGTAGTTCATTTCAGAGGTGTCTTATTTTTTCCACGTTGAATTGGTGGCTTGTATTAATATCCAAGAGAGGGAAATAAATACCTAGATAAAGGGCAGAAGAACATGACTTTTGATGATTCTGTCCCTGGGACAACCCCTCGGTCCCTCTGCCTCGCAGCAATCCAGACCACTTGCCCCGTCACACCGGCTTCCTTCCTCTCCGGGTTCAAATCCCCACACACCCTGTCATTTACTCTCTTCCCCTCTGCGCCTCCTCGCACAACCGCTTTCTGTTCCAGTGTGGTCTCCGCTTCAAGGTTTCCATAAAAAGCAGAACATCTCAAGCAGAAAGCAAAAGTTAAAGAACATTTCCAGGTTTTGCAGAAACATCTGCAAGAGAAACCTTCCTTAGTGTCGGTGGGATATGATGTAATTCAACCTGCAGCCAAAGGAAACGGGAAGCCAGATCCAGTTTGTGGAGGGCAAATGCAATTCCCCCCAGGGAAAGACGGCCCCCTGGTGGCCACCAACCCAGTGGAGGGGAGGCTTCTGCTCTCGACAGAAACCCTACTGCTTCCTGGGGATGTCCCCTCACGCTACAAAAAGCCTGCTTCTCCGCAACAGTAGATTCTAATGCCGTCGGGAGCCTGTTTCCTTACCCTTTGTCTACACAAAGAGAAAGAGTTCCTGGCACTGGGCAGTTAAAGGGACAGGGAAACGTGTTCTCTACCTACCACCCGCTCTGCAGCCCGGAGCATCCCCGTGAACCCCCCTCCACACACTATGGCCCTCTAGGGGCCGGCAGAGCGGCCTGCGGATCCAGGAATGGAACTCCGTGGTAAGCAGGAAAATGTCATGAAATATTAAACAACTCTCCAGACTGCAGTTTTAGTTTCACAGATTTATTCCTCATATCGGACATCAGCTATTATCAAATAGAACAATACTCTCATTGAATATTGCTGAACAATGATCCTGACATTTTTTTCACTCAGTAGTAAAAACTCTGCCTTGGTAGCAGAAGAGCAAAATTTGATTTAAGCTAAGGAATGTGAATGCATAGTATCATCATTACTTGAGAGCTAGTGACATTTTATTTAGTCTAATGTATCAATTTTGGCATAATTTGAAAGGAATTTCTATAACCAGCACAATATTTTCATTGAGGTGTTTCACCAGGAAGGATGTGTGAACTGCTAAGGTGGCAGGGAGGGCCTGCACGTGGGCAGGGGTCTCACATCTCTCCTTTGGGTTCATGGTCAACATTTGGATTTGCTGCTCTGCACTTGGGGCTTGCCCAGGCCCTCAGTTAAATTTGCACAGGTTTTGGTCTTTGCTGCCTTGTCTTTCCCTCAGGCTGCGGGGAGAGGGGAGGAATGATTTAGGAGATGGACAATGCTTGGCATCACTTGGCAAGACTATATTAGTTGGCAATTTCCAAAACCAGGGCCAAGAGCTTGGAAACCCTCCAAAGAATTAGAGTTGCATTTCAAGTTCATAGTCAGTAGGTTGGCAGAACTTCTTATCTTGTGTGGTCAGTCTTTTTCTACTAAGCTCATCTACTAGGATGAGGCCCACCGCTTTAGGGAGGGTAATGTGCTTTATGCAAAGTCTACTGATTAAATGTTAAATGCCGGAAATCTCAGGTGAGAATTAACAGAAAAGTTTCAAAACTCTAATCTGGCTGTCAACTCTTCATGCCATCAAGATTTTATTATGGCCTGTGCTATGAGATGAGATTTGACATTGATTTCTTCTTTGATGTGGAACTAGCCATCCTAGAACTGTTTGTGAAAAACTTCTTTCCACCATATTCCTGTCAGACAGATCCTTTATCTTAAATCTAATTAATATCGATTATAGCATTTCAGAGAGGTGGGCTTTAATCATTTGTTTGCCTAATTTCTCCTTTTATCACACTGTTTCTAGAATCATTACTATAATCTTCATTTTCCAGATTAGAGAGATCTGGCAAGCATTCTTCTGTTTTTAACCTGATTTGTCTTCTTCCTGGGTAAACACATACTTCACAGTGTAGACAGCATCAGGGTCATGAACATCACAACCTCTTTGGGATGCACAGACAACGAAATTGCAATGAGAATACTAGTCTGCGACAATTCCTTCATAAGGCTGAAAAATATAACTAAATCAAAATATTTCCCTTCCACACAATTTTTGGGAGGAAAATGTTTCCCAAGATATTCTAATTTCACTTGATATATTTGGTACCTTCACAATACTTGAGCTTCCAGATTTATAGTGCCCTCCAAACAGTGGCATAAATGAACACAATCCAAATAGGGTTATTGAGAAGGTTCATTTCATCATTTCAATGATCTTAGGAAGGTCGCTAGTTCATAGTTAGCATTCAATAAATTTTGGTTTTGTTATTTCAAATACTTTCAACATTATTATTTAGATGAAGAACAGAACACTTTAGCATCATCAAACTCCATTTTCNTCCTTATTATTTAGATTAAGAACAGTTCATTTTAGGATCATCCAACTCTCTTTCTCTTAATTCTGGATTCCTCAAGGCAATCTTTTCATTGCCTGAGGGGATTTATCAACTAGATGAAGCCCTCAGGCCAGGGTTAATATCCACCTTGTGGGTCGGGGTTGCCAGTGCCTTGAGAGTTGGTGGCTGGGACTCTTCCCTTCTGTCCTCAGAGCTGGTGCCNCCCTTGTGTCCTCAGATATGATGCCATGAGGATTAAATGAAAGGGAAATGAGGGGCTGGTCACCGACCAGGGGGCCTCTTGGAGCCTCTGGCCCAGGCAGCCAGTTCTTGGCTTTGGGGGCTCAGCACTGGCCTCCGTCCTTCCCTCTGCCATGGCACCGGGGCCTCTAGTGGGCCACAGTGAATTTTGCCAACTTACACTTGGTCATTTTGTCAGCACACAGGTTCCTTCTCTTCTTTCACTTCTGTGACATTNACTTACACTTGGTCATTTTGCCAGCACACAGGTCCCTTCCCTTCTTTCACTTCTGTGACATCCAGGATTATATTTGTTTTATTTCCCCCCACAAACAACTGCCAGTTTTGCTTCCTGGGAAAGTTGAACTGAAAAATCTGAAATCTTGAAAACAGAGAAAAACAGTGAAGCGCCTCTGCCTTTCTTTTCCGTCCCTTCGTATGAGCCTCAGGATGAAGGAGGAAGTAATGCCAGAGGAGCAAGACAGACCACAACCAGAAGACCTCTCTGAGGAACTATGCTGTCACTGAAATTAAAATGAAACACAGCGAGTCAGGAGAGGAAAGGAGGCTCTTTCTCCCTGACCTAGCAGCCTGGGCCTCACTGCCCTCCACTCTGAGCATGGGGCAGAGATGGACCAACAGAGAAGCCCCAGGAAACTCACAGACTCGATGAACAGCTGGAGTTCACCACTTTCTCTACTAAAAGTTTCCACTGAGGGATGTCACTGAATCTCCTGTGACCAGCTGAGAAACTTTGAGCATGTTTTCAATAATTTAGGTAAAGAATTGAACAATGAAACTTGTACTGGCCAAATAAAAATGATTGGCCTACTAAAGGTAAAACACATGCAATTGGATCACTAATTCCTCTACCTACAAAGACAAAATAAACTTTTTCTCTCAGCGTTTAAGTCTATAGATTTCCTGCGACCTGGGTAATGGCTCCGAGAGCAGGAGGCCACCACTGAGAACCAGGGTCCTGCACACAAACACTTCAGGGAGCAGGGCTAGGAGCCTGACAGACTGTTTTGCCAGCAAAGACACAAGCCTCTCCACTTCGAGGGAAGCATAAAGACCTCACAATGGGGTCAGCCTGCCCTCTGGGAGTGAGTCCAGGAGTGTTTCCATTGCGGACACTCTGTGATTTGAGAGGAAAGCGGTTACTAGAGCTCCTATCAAACTTGTGAATGAGGTGGTGCTGGGAAAACTTATCTTGGTATTAGAATCTCCCCAAGGGCATCACCAGCCAAGAAAGAAGATTCCTGCTGTGGAGACTGGCACAGTCTGAGGAACCTGAAGGACCAGTTACAAAACGCTGGAAAGAAGTGGCACTGTGGATAGAAGTCCTGACCTAGTGGCCCCCTGACACATAAACACATAGACCTGCATGAATGAGATCCAGAGGGAACAGAAACATCCCAGACACTGGTTCACTTCAAATCTCAGCCTGTGCTGTGAATAAAACAGTAAACAAAACCCAGTCCTTGGTTCTAAGGAGCTTATTTACCATACATGGTCCGATAAGTTCCTGACAAAATACACACCCAGGGCTGAGGGAGCCTGGCTCCATATGTAAAGGAAGGAGGCCACAAATGTTGCCCACATTCAAGCCAACTGCCTCTATTATATTCTTTTATTGATTTCAGAGAGAAGAAGGGGAGTGAGAGAGAGAGAGAAACTTCAATGATAAGAGAATCCTTATCTGCTGCCTCCTGCAGGCCCCTTGCTGGGACGGAGCCCACAGCCAGGGCATGTGCCATACCAAGAACTGAACGAGGACCTGCTGCTTTATAAGTGGACACTCAACCACTCAGACAACCCAGCTGGGCTCAAGGCCACATCTTGTTGCTAATAGAGAAGAGCAATATATGTAATAAAGTATATACATGAGAATGTTCACGTGTGGGAGTATTTACACACCTACATACACTTCTGCTTTTAGGACTAAGAATTTTCTCATTTGACCGATATGTATCCTCTTGGATGGACACATCTGAAATCTAGTGTGAAAATTACAACGGCAAAACCGATAGTGTAGAGTGATGACATCCTCCTAGACCACAAGGAGAACTCAAATGAAAGTAAAAAAAGGAAGGGAAAACAGAAAGAAGAGTCTAGAAAGGGAAAACATGCTTCCTATTTAAAGGCCATGCTTAGAAAGAAGGTCACTGGAGGACCTGAGGTCCCAGACTGTTCAGCAGGCGCCCAGCTCAGCAGGCCAGCAGCGCCCTCGCTCGCCCATGGCCCTCCTGCTCTCTCTCCTCTCGGCCCTGCTGCTGCTCAGCTGTGGCCCCGGGGGGTCTCTGGGCTGTCACCTGCCTCAGCACCACGTCCTGCTCAGCGGGGACAACTTAGTGCTTCTGAGCCAAATGAGCACAATGTCCCCTTTCTTGTGTCTCAAGGACAGAAAAGACTTCCGATTCCCCAGGCAAACGGTGGAGGGCCGTGAGGTGCAGGGGGCCCAGGCCGCCACTGTCCTCCACGAGCTGCTCCAGCAGGTCTTCAACCTCTTGCTCACAGCGCCCCCCCCTGCCGCCTGGAACACGACCCTCCTGGGCCAGCTGGGCGCGGGGCTCCACCGGCAGCTGGGGGACCTGCACGCCTGCCTGGGGCAGGGGACGGCGGAGGAGGGCTCGGCCCTGGCGACGCGGGGCCCTGCGCTGGCCTTGAAGAGGTACTTCCAGGGCATCCGGCTCTACCTCAAAGGGAAGGGACACAGCGACTGCGCCTGGGAAGTGGTCAGAGTGGAAGTCATGAGGGCCTTCTCTTCAGCAAGGACCCTGCAGGAAAGGCTGAGCGACAAGGACCGAGACCTGCCTCCTCCTGGAAATGATCCTCGGTGACCAAAGGGCCAGATCACCTTTGCACATGAGTGTTGGGTCATGTCAAAGGCTCTGATTTCTGCTTTAGTCACAGAGTATTAAGCAAGAAGCTTTTATGAAACTTAGCTCCTGAGAGGGACATTAGTCCCTAAACAATACCTGCTCTGATGTTATTTATTTATCTATTGTTTATTATTTATTATTCCATATTATCATATTTATGTATTTATATGACCAATATTTCCCCTTACCTCATATTATAATTTACAAATCATGCTTACTTTTTTATGTTATTAAAATTGCATTTTTCTGTATTTATTAAATTCTAATCAAAGTAAACTTCGTGAGTTCTTTTGTTCTGAAAACCTAAATCCTTATTTTGTTCTATATAAATCTATCTCAGAATAGTACCTGTCTATTAAATCCTATAGAACAGTTCCACCACTAGTCAGAAAGTGCCTATCAAAAGCTGGAAATTCCAAGGAATTGAGAAGAGTCCCGGAAAACATGGAAGACATTCAGTACTTATGTCAGGGTTGTACTGAGTTCTATTCCATCAGCAAGGAGCAGTGGCAGAAATATCCGAGAGAGGTCGTGTAGGGAGAAGCCGGGAAGATACAGGGCATTTGGTGGCTGATGTGGGCACCCGCTCCTCTTCCTCCCTCCCTGTCCCCAGTCCTGCTTAGTGACTGCATTCACCCTTCATACCATCCCCTCCTGCACCCTCCTTCGTGCCCGGCCCCAAGCACAGGTGCTCTGGCTCTGTTGTGGTTTCAGCTTCAAGGCTTCTATTCTGAATAGAAAGCCAAAGTGAGAGAGCAAAGTTGAGTGGAAGCTCTATGTTCTTCAAAACTGTTGTATGCGGGTTTGTTTCTGTGAGTGTCCTGATGTATATTTGGGGGTCCTGAGCAAATGTCATTGTTAAAATGATGAAATAGGTGGTGAAGTTAAAGGAATCAGTTGAATTATTTGTGTGGTGTGTGAATTTCTCATGTAGCACAGAGAGAAATATCAATCTGAGAGGATTTCTTGAATCTTTGCCTCAGATGGCCCAGCCAATGCTTTAGTTTGCTTGTCCATAAGTTGTAAGACATTAATCTTTTGTTCCTTGTATTTCTCTCCTCTACTACTTCTTTATGAACCAGTTTAGCCAAAGGAGAAAAACTTGTCAATTCTGGACCTTTTTTTAAAAAATATATATATCTTTATTGATTTCAGACAGAGGAAAAAAGAGAGAGGGAGAAAGAGAGAGAGAGAGAAACATCAATGATGAGAGAGTCATTGAACGGCTGCCTCCTACATTCCCCCAACTGGGGATCAAGCCCACCACCCGGGCAAGTGCCCTGACCGGGAATCAAACCCCAATCGCCTGGATCTTAGGTCCATGCTCAACCGCTGAGCCACGCTCAGCCAGGCAATTCTGGACTTCTTCTGTTTCTTTCAATTGTTAACACCTTTCAAATATTACACTTTCTAAAGAAGGATTATAATACATATCTATACATACATTCACGCCTATAATTTTTACTTTTGTTCATTCTGTTATGATATATTGTGTGAAAAATCTCTTAGCCAGCCTTGTTCTGTCACTTTCTCCAAGACTGTTCACCAGACACCCAGCTCAGCAGGCCAGCAGCGCCCTCGCTCGCCCATGGCCCTCCTGCTCTCTCTCCTCTCGGCCCTGCTGCTGCTCAGCTGTGGCCCCGGGGGGTCTCTGGGCTGTCACCTGCCTCAGCACCACGTCCTGCTCAGCGGGGACAACTTAGTGCTTCTGAGCCAAATGAGCACAATGTCCCCTTTCTTGTGTCTCAAGGACAGAAAAGACTTCCGATTCCCCAGGCAAACGGTGGAGGGCCGTGAGGTGCAGGGGGCCCAGGCCGCCACTGTCCTCCACGAGCTGCTCCAGCAGGTCTTCAACCTCTTGCTCACAGCGCCCCCCCCTGCCGCCTGGAACACGACCCTCCTGGGCCAGCTGGGCGCGGGGCTCCACCGGCAGCTGGGGGACCTGCACGCCTGCCTGGGGCAGGGGACGGCGGAGGAGGGC